AGAGAGAGAGAGAGAGCTTTAAAGAGAAGACAGGAGAGAGAGAGAGAGAGCTTTAAAGAGAAGACAGGAGAGAGAGAGAGAGAGCTTTAAAGAGAAGACAGGAGAGAGAGCGAGCTTTAAAGAGAAGACAGGAGAGAGAGAGAGCTTTAAAGAGAAGACAGGAGAGAGAGAGAGCTTTAAAGAGAAGACAGGAGAGAGAGAGAGCTTTAAAGAGAAGACAGGAGAGAGAGAGCTTTAAAGAGAAGACAGGAGAGAGAGAGCTTTAAAGAGAAGACAGGAGAGAGAAAGCATAAAAGAAGACAGGAGAGAGAAAGCATAAAAGAAGACAGGAGAGAGAAAGCATAAAAGAAGACAGGAGAGAGAAAGCATAAAAGAAGACAGGAGAGAGAAAGCATAAAAGAAGACAGGAGAGAGAAAGCATAAAAGAAGACAGGAGAGAGAGAGAGAAAGAAAGGGAGCATAAAAAACAAGATCATGAGAGTAAAAATGCACAATAAAGACATGAGAAAGAGAAAAAAGTGAAGCATATGAAATTTAGTAAAGATTGAAAAATTTGATATACTTTAACAGCTAACATTTAACATATACACACACTCACACACACCTCCAATATGAATAAAAAGTTGCTGTTTCAAAGTTGATTTGTTGAAATGTCAAAGTTTGAAGAATATACACATCCTATATAAAATCATTGTTACCTAAAATAAACAGAAACATGCATCAAGTAACAATATTTTGCAGGTGCTGAGCAGAGGAAAATAGATTTTTATTTTCTCAATTCAGTCTTTCTTGTAGTCAACACTGGTAGAAAATAAATATTAAACTCATCAGATTCTCTTCAGGAAATGTACTCCTAAGACTACTATTCTTTTCACTATTTCATGATACACTGCTAGTGAGTTCAACCTTCACAGTGTTCCCACATTATTGTGACCTTGCATAGATGGGTTTGGTAAATCTCTCTAAATATACTTTAACACTTATCAGATATAAATTCTGAATGCATGTTTGAATAGCAAAGCTAAAATTGCATTTACAATTAATGGGGAGCAAATATTTTCTGAATTTGAAGCCTTTCACTCTATTATTATATAAAAAGTTATAAATTCAGAAAGAAATGGTCTAACTAGCACTTGAGAAACTATCTAGTTTATGTTGATTTATTTTAAAACATTTGAGTTTATGGCATTAGTCAAATAAATCATTAAAAGCATTAAATTTAACACTGTTTAATGTTAGATTTTCAAATTTGTATTTATTTAGGATAGACAGTATTTCAATTATTAAAACAAATTAAAATAAATTGGGGAAATTAAATGAGGAAAAAATGTAATCATGTTAAAACTGAGATTACCTACTACCATCATCATTATACCTTTCTTCTATTCAATCTATTATGCTCATATTAGTTGTTACACAGTCTTTCTTCAGGTATCTGTTGTACTTGGTAGCCTTCTTGAAATTTTGAACTGGACACTTTATTCAATCAAAAAATGAGAGATTTTCTCATTCTGATTTCAATATCTTGGATCAATTAATACACTTCAGTCTATTCCTCTTTATGCCACTGAATCAGAGTATATAACATCCATAATACCTACTCAAGGGATTTAACTAACAAGTGCCAAGGAACCAAATAGATTTTTAACCAATACTTTAATTCACTTGGGCATATGTCTCTTTAACAATCCAGTGATTTAATTTTGGAAGCTTAAACATAATATCTGTAGTCAGGTGAAGTTTTTTTTTCTTTTTTCTTAAACAGAGGCTTCCAGATGGTATTCATCTCTGTGCTAGTTTGCTGAGGAGGTTGTCAAAGTTTAACATGTGTGCTGATTCTTTCAATTATCTTACTGTATTGTTCTGTGCCTATTATCGTTACTTCATTTTGCAAAGGATGGTGACCACCCTTTTCTCTCCATGTCTCTCCTCACACTACAGCCTTCTGATGCTCCTCCATCTTGACTTTGTTTCCTTGCTACAGTTGTATTGGATGGAATACATGCTGTCCTTGTCTATGTTCAAGGAAGTGCTTAGTTCATGCAGAGATATTTCTAAAGGTTTGAACTGCTTCTGAAAACAGTGAAAGTGGAATGAGAACAAATTACCCCTATGGATGGTTCAATATTCCAACAAGGTTACAAAGTACAAAAGACACCTAAAAAAGGCCAGAGGGTACACTGACTGAAAGGTTGTGATTATTACAACCAAGATTATAAAGTGCAGAATATTTTAAATGGAAAAGTAAATAGAGGGAAAAAATCACTTTTGCTAATTACTCTAAAATTAAGAAACCAAAACTCCACTGAAAAAGTCAGCTTAAATATCAGGTTTAAACAAGTATTTAAGCATCAAAGTTAGTTCTTAGTAAGATCTAAATCTTTAAAACTTGTAACTCTAATGATGCAGGCAATTTTTAATAAATATTTGTAACTGTTTTGGAAAACTTTCAATTAATGTTGTGAATTAGAAAACATTTGAGTTCTTATGAAAAAAGGATATCACAAGACAAAGGAGGAGAATCAGCTTATAGCTGCTCAAGCAAATGAACCTTTTATGAAGCAACAGTTTGCAGCAACAAAATCTTTCAAATTCCTATGATTTCCTGATAAAATATCTTTATAGTTTCCTAAACAAATAACCCTTTTAAGACTGACCAATAACCATTCAAATGGACAAATCTAAATATTAATGATAAAATAGTCAATAAGTAAAATGACATTTCAAAAATACCAATAAAAGCATGAACGGGTACAATGAGTCAAGTTTGTTTTACTTCCAATCCAAACAAGCAGTGACACTGGCAACAATCAAGTGGATGTGGAAAGAATTGGAAAACATTTTGGCCTAAACAAAATTAGAATAACACAAGCAACACACACACACACACAATTCAGAAATAATTTTTTTTTTTAATGTCCAATTAAGAAATTTACCAGAAGTTATATTTATATAAATCAAGATTAGTTTTAGATTGAATGTCAGAAATAGTTGAGCAACGAATTTAGAATTATTTTTAATGATTTCCTCATTAATTTATTCTGAAAGAAAAATGTAAAACTTAAATATTTTAAGAACTTTGTCAATGAAAATTGAAAAAAATAAATATTTAGAATCATTTAAATTTAGTTATCTTCTTTACAGAAGATAAACAAACATTTTGCATTATTTTTCATTGTTACATTACTCAAAATAGAAATCAGAATTTTTAACAATAAGGTTAGTATAATGAATTAGAGACAAATATTTAAATCTACAAAGAATAAAAAAGGAGCAAGTTAATTGGCATTTGATGGGTCAACAAAATGCTACAAATTAAAAAAAGAAAAAGAAAAAAAGGCATTAATGAAAGCAATAAACTTTTTATTGCAATACATTTAATAGTAAAATGCGAAAAATGGTCATATCATAATTCCCTAACATCCAAAAACTTTGCAAAGAGAATGGATACAGAGGATTTGGGGCCAACATTATGAACCAAACAGCAAATTAATAAGTTTATAATCAACTGCTTGATGCAAAAATTTTATTTGTGATCATAAAGAAAAAATAAGGGTGTACACACTTCTGTAATGATGGACTTCTGTACAATGCAGATGGACCCAATGCCAAGCATTACTCACTTTTATCCTTAATAACCTGAATGGTGGACCTTGTGTGTCGCATCAAATGATAGGAAGCATTGCATGGCTTTGATTCCTTGAGATCTACACACACAATGAGGAGGATCAAGATCAGTGAGGACCTTAGCAGGGGCGGGTGGGGTTGATGAAATGGACAGATTGATGGATAGATACAATGAGCAATGTAACAATATACAAGTCAATAGCTACCTATAAAATAGGCAGGCCATTGTAGAGGACTTGCAGTCAAAATAAACCTGTACCTTTATTAAAACAAGGTAGATGCAGGTATGTATGCATAAGGAAACACAAAGTTAAGAGATAGCCTGAAATAACCTGCAAATACTAAAACAGCAAGAAGTTAGACTTGAGAATAGTTAATGTATGTTATCAATAATGAAAACATTATTTCATAAACATTACATTGGAAATTTTGGTTTTTTTCTCCTTTTTTTTTATCATCATTAGTGAGTTAATGAAACCATTCCCATCAATATTTCCAGAGAATCAAACCTTCTCCATACAATATCAAATGAAGAGGAAGGAATTTATAAATATACAAATTTAAAAAAAAAATAACAAAAACTCTGAAAAACTAAAAATCTACCAGGGAATTTAAGACATAATGTAAAAGTCTGAAAAGTTAGAGCTGTACTTTAATGATAGAAGACAATTAAAATTTTATTAAAATTAAAAGAAACATGCACATGTCTAAAAATACAAACCTCTTCACTTGTTGTAGCACAATTTAAATGACTGTATTAGTTTCATTTTTCAATAGAAAAATAAAAATTGGTAAAACAGCACTAACTTGATAAATTATTTTCAATTTCAAGGAGGTGGGGGTCATGTAACTTAAAATCCAAAAAGGTTACAGGAGAGAGTAAAATAAAAATGTTTAAGTGAATCTTGAAAGAGTTATCATCTAAGTATCAATGTTTTGAAAACTAATTCATACATTTGTTATCTGCAGTGAAAATACATGCTACCTGCAAAGATGCCTACCTTTTACTAGACAGGTTAATAATACAATGACAAAAAAAACCTGAGAATCAGAAATCATTTTGCAAAAGATTAAAATACAATGGAATTTAGGAAAGCATTCTATTTAATTAATTTGCACAATAAAAGATAAATATCATCCTCCTTCATCATGTTAACTTGGGCTGTGAAAATATTAGAATTAAAATTTGCTAAAGAAAATATATAAATGAATATCTTTTACATAAATCTTAAAATTCAGTTTCAAACATTTTAATTTTATGAAAATAGATATGGCTCCAACTTTAAAAAATTAAACAAGAATATAATGATTTAATAATAAAATAAAATTCACTAAAGATGCAACAAAGACCCTTTGTCAAATTTGTTACTCACCACCCATGATATTTTTAAAATGTTTCCGAGCCCGCCGGAAAGGACTTCTGTTGATAACTGACTTCTCTGTGCTGGTGTCATTACTTTGCTTGTCACTAGCAGCATTGAGTGTGCGTTCTATGTGTGGTGGCTTCTCTGGAGATATTGCAGGCAGAACAGCCTCCTTTGGAAATAAAGTTAATCACAAAAATAATGCACACAAAATATTTATAAACAATAATAACAAGACAAAAATTTCTAGTATTGCTTATTGAATATTAAAACTTGTATTACAAACATGAAAAAGCTAAGAAATACTTATGCAGGCATAATAAAATTATCAAAGATGAGGATGAAAACTAAATCATTGTAGAACCTAATGACACTATCACAAAAAAAAAAAAAAAATGGGCACAATATTAAATGTGATGCTAGCGACAATGATTGATGAAATAACAATCAATAGATCTCATATTCACAATATGAACAAATAACCAGTTTATTAGAAAACTGGAAGAACTTGTAAAACAAATACATTAAAATGAAGAAAATGATTATTACAATGAACAATAGTACTTGTAAGATATTTTTGTGAGAGTAATATCAAAAGTTTGTAGGTAGGTAAAAAATAATTTATAATTCTTTGAAAACAAGATGGTTGTGTCTTTTTTCACTTCAAGATTTTTCTAAGCCTATATCTTATAATTCTCTACAAATAGATCAGTTATCTATTTTATATCATTTTAAAAACAAAACATTGCTTCCTCTAATTCTGTGTAATCCAAGGAAGAAAACATAGTATCATAAATAACAAAAGTCATTAAACATTTTCTCCCAGTATAAGTGTATATCTATAATTAATTTATCATAGAAGATTCAGTAAATGGCTTTTAATAATTAGCTTTTAGAAAGCCTGAAATCAATTTCTAGAATGGTAATTATCATAGTGCAAGTGGGAAATATCAAAGTAGCAGCAGTGATTTTTGTCATGATAACCATAACAGCCAAATGTACTTATGATTGAAGTGTGTTTGACAGGAAAATATGCAAAAAAATACTAAGTGTGATGGTTGGTATATTAAGCACATATTTTGGAGCACAGTGATTAGCAAGAAGCTATATGTCAAAGCATATTCCATGTTTACAATGCTTGCGAATTCTAAATTGTCCAATGTTTGCAAAGGTCTTATACTAACAAAATTTTACCAATTAACTAGTTAGAATATTTAAGACCAAAATATTTCAGACAGGGAACTTGGCTTAGAACCAAGAAATTTGTGAATAACAATTTCAAAAAGATGATTGTAGCAATGATTATATCTTATCTCCCTTAACATGTTGCCAAACAAAAGCAATTAAGACAGAAGATAGCAAAGTGCATAAGAGAACACAAAAGATTGACCTACATCTTCATAATAAAGACCACGGAAATTCTAAAAAGTAAAAAGAAAACATTTCAGAAAGAGGTAAAAAACATACAAATAGAAGAGGATATTAAAAAAAGTAGAATCAAACTAAACTTTGGTAAAAACGTGATTATACAATTTTTAGAAAAAGATTGGAAAACAAAAAATTCTGTCCATTTTCTGAGAATGAACAAGACAAATTTACAATGAAAATAGAAACATGCAACATGCAAATCACTTAAAAACTTGGGTTGGGAGGAGGGGAAATGGTACAGCGCTTTAACAGGTTTTTCTTGTATGCAATAAATGATGAGTGGAAGGATATAATTAATTTAAGGTAATATAAGATTTTTGTCTTCAAGAGACATATAGGAAGAATTTGATACCAAAAGGCTGATTATATTTTAAACACTAAAACTCATTTACTGATGCCAAGTCTCAGAGTCAATATAAATTTGAGGGTTGGGGGAAATTCTTATTTTTTATTGAATGTTTTTTTTATTGATGTTTGTGATATTTAACATGTAAAATAAAAAAAATAATTTTGGAAATAAAACAGCACTAAATCTTTCTGTTAAAAAAATTTTTTTCAGTATCCAAAAATTTCAAATTTAGTCACCATATTTGTAATGATATTGAAATATCTTTTAAGAAAGAAATTATACCATGATTTTTTTAAAGACTTGCTTTTTCAAGCCAATAGTGTAGAAATAGGAAAAGCTTTCATTTATGTTTACTTAAAAGAATTTTTTTAATTTTTTTTTTGCATAACTATTTCTCTTTTAATACAACTGAACATAGTTCATGTAAGAAGTATCTAAAAGTTTATGATAGTGCATTTTTACTATTTATTTAGCCATTATCAATATAAAACTCTTGTATGGTTGGAGATAAAAACGGATGACATATTTTAAAATTCAATTTGTAAATGAATGATGACCTAAAACCCAGGGTAACACAAACTTGAGGTTCTACACTTCTCAATGAAGGAAAGGTTTCATTTGTGAAGAAAGGAACATTTTTCTCAAATTCCACCAATTGAAGACAAGATAATTTTCTCTCTGATTAGCAGATGTCAAACTAAATATAATCATAGCTAGAGGGTACAGCAGTAATTTACATTATTATAGCTTTGCATCTTAGGTAGTCTTAAATACAAAAAAAAATGCACTTGTTTAAAAAAAAATTATCCTGCTATTGCAATTAAGTTGACTTGCTTGGGTCAAAAACACAATGCAAACTATATTGCATTTCAGACTTGAAAAATCCATTTTAATAAAACTGGCAATATTTTAGTAATTTAAAATTGGAACCAAAGCAAAAGTAATGAATATAAAAAAGGAAAAGCTTATTAGCATCAAATGTTATCATCATCACAAAGGATATCAATCAAAGTTCATTTGAATGGTCATGTGAGTGTATACAGGAGAGACAAACAAATATGTGTAGATGTGAAAAATATGTACATTTCAGTGAAAAATCTGGGAAAAAACATTCTGTGCTAAGTAGACATGGCAGCACAAGACAAAAAGTTTACTTCATGCCAGTTACTTTTTAAACATACTCGAGAATGCTTTAGTCCATGGTGTTGTAACGGCAACAGTATAGTCAACAGCAAAGGAGCATCATATGGTAAAGGATATGATCCACTCTGAGAAGGTGTCTGCCAATTTTCAAAAGAGAGTTTAAAGAAGAAATAGTTAATGATAGAAGCAATAGCAGAGAGTATGCCAACAAAACATGACACCCAAAATGTCCCTCTTTTCAGAAACACTGACAAAAAATTAAAAAAAAAAAAAAAAAAAAAAAAAAAAAAAAAGCTTGATGACACACAAGCTGCTCTGTGCACAAAATGCATACAGAATGAACCACAAGGAACAGAGTTCATTTTCAAGAACTGCACAATAATTTCAAGAATAAGATGTCATCCTAAGAAAAATGCATTTTAAACAGTTCATTATTTAAAAACTCAGTATACAATCTACTGTGCAATAAAATAAAGCTGACAACTAAATCTAGAATGTTATTGAATACAATGATTTCTTCAATCTGCAAACAATAGAAGCAGGAATAACAGAATAAACTATGAAAGCTACAATATTGAATGTTCAATGTAAATTATCAGCAAAGAAAGTCTGTTCAGTTTAATCTTGAGCATGTCAAGAATACAAGAGGAAATTTAATGAAATATGATATTTTAACAGGGTTTTAAAGATGATACCAAAAATTATTTTAAATTAAGAATGTCACATATGTGACGATGAATTAATGATAGCAAAATAGTCTAGTGATGAAAAAAAGAAAAAATAAATCAAATAGATGACTGCAAACCAAAGAAAAAATATTTTCCAAGTTGTCTTGCACTAGTGTAATCTATAAATCTATGATGTCTAAATCATATTACAATTGTATAATCAGAAAAAAAATTTTATTCTGTTGTAGCATTTTGTGTATAATGTGTATATTATCTTGACAATTCTGTCACTGGTCTCCATAAAGATTTCAAAAAACATTTATGCAGGTATTACAAAGCAAAGTTGAGAGACAATTCAAGATTACTGAAATAAGATCAATTTATTTATTTTTTTTTAAATATGGCCTTTCTATTTGTCTCTGACAAAAAAAAAAATGAAAGTTTAGCAACAGATCTATATATATATATATATATATATATATATATATATATATATATATATATATAGAGTCAAGCAAAACAAAGATGGGAGCAAATTTCATTAATATAGTGAAATATTTTCAAACTGAACTTGGTACAGAGTATGTAAAATGAAGAGATTTTATTAATCTTTAAAATAAAATTTAATATGTTTATTATTATAAAAGTAAAAAAATTACCACAAAGATATTTTAATGATAATTTCTAAAAATACTTTTGTCTCAAAAGTGTGCATATGTATACCCCATACATATGTAGTATTTTTAAACATTCTTTACTCACATTTTCATATATATATATATATATATATATATATATATATATATATATATATAGGTACCCCTGCTTTTTTTTTTGTGGGAAAAACAGCATAGCATGTTGAAAAAAGGCCCCAAACTCAAAACAAAAAGTTTTTTTCATCAAAGCATTTTATAATTATTTTTAAAATTTTTTTTAATCCTTTCTAGCTCTTTTTAAATTTTGGTTAAAAAATCTTGTTTTGTTTACGTTTACAGCTGAACCAAATATCAAGATTTTTTTTTTTTTTTTTTGGGGGCACTTTTCCAGTAAAACACACATTAATTTGGATATCTTTGCAAATATCAAATAATTGTTGGATTTTAATTGAACTTTCAGGACATATTCAGAAATGAATGAAATTATTTTAATTCCCCCCACCCCAGAAAATCTTTAAAAAGAATTCTTTTTGGTTTTTTTTTTTACCACCCCATTATTTAATTTCATGAAATTTTGAGAAATTCATTTTTTTTTTTTTTTTTTAAATTAATTAAAAGCAGGACTCCTTGGAGAAAGTAAATCATCAATTTTTTTTGTAAAACAATTGGCCCTTTCACTGAAAATCTGTTCTGAATTATAAAATAAAAAATGCAATAAAACTATTACATTATTTAATTAGAAAAGCTTTTAATTGATTTGATAAATAAGATTTATTAAGCACACTACTAAGAAGAAATTTTTTGTTCGATGAATAATTAATTTTTACAAGAATTGGTTACATTTTTTTAAAATGAAAACAATTTAAATTAAGTAATTTATAATATTTAAAAATCATTGAAAATTCTTCATTGCTTTCAAGGCAGCGATTTGGTGATACTGTTAAGTGAAAAGTACATTTACCAATCAAAAATTGAAAAGTGCATAATAGTCATTTGAGCCAATATATTTTTAAAAGAATTTTTAAGAAACATTTTTAGGTTATGAAGCATTCCCAATTTCTATCTATGGTAAACCACATGTGATATAATCCTTAAAATGTTACATGATTTAAGTTTCATCTGACACCCTGCAATTCTTTCATTTTACTTATTCAGTTCTTTTTCATCATTAACGTCTTTGCAAATTATCCCTTCAAAATTTCAAAGTAAGTTTTACTCTTTTTAATTACTATTTCACTAAATATTTTTATTTTATGTATTTATTTTAGTTTGGGTCATACTTCAAATAATTAATTTGTTTAAGTTAGTAAACTTAAGAACCTAGAGATGAAATAAAGCATCTTGAAACATAACTAAAAGTCAATAAAATATTAAATAGTTGCTGAAAATATGTCAATTTGTAAAAATTACTAGGTAGTTAAAAACTAAAAAAAAAAAATGCATTCACTTAGATTTCATAAATTTATGCCAATTCTGGTCATCTATAAGAGCTGCCATCACTTTGGAACTTATCAATACATCAATAAAGATAAAAAATAAAACAGGACCCATTGTTAAGAAATGCTTGTATATTACTTTTTTATGTTATAAGTAAGTAATATTTATTTCAAATCAGATTAATTTAACTTTAAATTTTCTAATTTTAAATAACATGTCAGAAATATAAATTTTATTTTTGGAAGATTTTTAATATCGATAATTTTGTTTCGTTTACAAATTTCTTAAAATTAAGAAAATGACCACTATTAAAAAAATTAAAAAAAAAAATCCAGCAAGTATTTAATACTAGCAGTAGAGCCTGCCATTGCCCGGGGATGTAACAGTAAGAGATAGATCAAGTATCCACCATCATAAAGACTGAAAAATAAAATTGACAAAGATTATTGTTTAAGGTTGACGGACACGCATGTCTTAATTAGTTTTTTTTTTTTTTTTTACGAATTGGTCAAACCCAAATTCAAACAAAAACATTGTTTACAATCGTTATGAGTCTATCGATTGGTGAATAGAATTTTATTATAAACAATTGTCTTGTAAATGGAATTTTTAAAACATTCTGAATGTAAAAATAAAGAAAAAAAAATGTGCAAGACAATAAGAAACACTACCTGCCAAAAAAAAAAAAAAGTGAAGTTTTGTTGAAATCGGTTGAAAAATGTAGGTAGCCTTTCTCTGTAATCTTTTATTTTTTACAATTTATGATTTTTACTTATTGAATACAGTAAAAAAAATTGCATATTTTGCTTGTGGTGATTCATAATTAGAATTCTGATTTGAATATATTTTCCACTTGTTGTTTCTAATACAAAAAATATTAACTTTATTTGGGTTTATTAATTTATTACAAGTACTGTGTTCTTTCCTTAATAATTATCATCTTCGAAATATTGTTGTTTTTTGTCAATCAGATTTCTTACGTCGGTACTTTTAAATTATTTCTTAATACTTTCTTTTAAATATTAAATTAATTTCAAATAGAACCAATGCCTTATAGATCTGCCTTGTAACAAATTGCAAAGGGAATTGTAAAAACGGCCCTAAAGTACATGGAATTATCTTTCCCTAAAGATAAAGAATTATCTGATTTTTTTTCGTTTAATCCAGTAGAGATCATTAGATTATTGTTTAGGTTGACGGACACGCATGTCTTATTTTTTTTTTTTTTTTACGAATTGGTCAAACTCAAACAAAAACATTGTTTTCAATATCGTTATGATGAGTCCCCCGATTGAATAGAATTAGAATTTTATTATAAACAATTGTCTTGTAGATGGAATTTTTAAAACATTCTGAATGTATAAATAAAGAAAAAAAAAGTGTGCAAGACAATAAGAAATACTACCTGCCAAAAAAAAAAATGGATGTTTGTTTTATCAGCTGAAAAATGTAAGAAATCCGATCCCATATATAAAGGAACACACACACACAGAGACAGACACACACAAACAACCTGTGTTTTTTAACCTAAGTCACTCCACGGAATCGCTAAAACATAGAGCATAGACTGATGAAAAAGACGTCAAAGTTTATGAAAACAAAATTTTATCGTCAAAATGCTTATGTTTTTTATGAAGATATAGACTAAATTTTTTTTTAATTATTTTTTAAAATTTTCCATCTTTTTAGAATATTCTAAATTTTGATTTAAAAACCTTGTTTCTCTTTGTCAACAACAATAACAATAACATAAATTTTAGTGCGTTTTTTTTGTATTTACACACATTAATTTGGAAAATCTTGCAAAAATAAAAATAATTGTCAGATGTTAATGAAACTTTCAGAAACTATTCACAGATGATCGAAATTATAAATATATTTTTTTTTTATTAAAGTCATGGCAGAAATATTTTTTTATATTTATTAACACCCCCATAACTAATTTTATGAAAAACTCTAGAAATTCAAGACCATCGGTTTTAGTGATTACAATAGTTAAAAGCCCAAGGCTTTGAAGAATGCAAATCATGTTTTTTTTTTTTTTTTTTTTTTTTTTTCAGTACCTGAAAATCAGTTGTGAATTGTAACATACAAAACTCAATAAAACAAATATATTATTTAGTTTCAAATGCTTTTATTTGTTTTAATTTGTTTTTATGAATATGGACAATATTTTCTGAAAGCAAAAAATTTTTTCAATGAAAATTGAATTTTTAATACAATTATTTCCTATTTCTTTAATTTTAAAAAGATTTTAAAAAAATTTTAAATTGAATTTTTAAAAATATTTTAACATTAGTTAAAAGCAACATCAACCTTTCAAAATGTCCATGTGAGATTGTCATTGTCTAGCGCTTTGAAAATTGTATAATTTGGACCAATCAGATTAGCCATGGTAATTAAGAAATGTAATTTTTGTGTTTATAGTCAGACAGTAATTATCAAGTACGGAAGACCAACCAGAATACAATTTAGTTGCATTATTTGAGTTCAGCATTGTTCTCCGCTGTTAAGCCCTTTACTTTTGCAAAACACTTATGGAGAAGTTAATTTGAGTTTTCAATTTCAACTGAGAAGGGTACCTACAAGTAACAGTATCAT